GGGTCTTGGTGGGGCCCAGAAGAGGTGCAGACGGGCTCCGCATCCCAGCAAGGATCTTGGGCCCCCTCCAGCCCCTGGGAGAGGTGCCCATCGCGGTGGGCAGCCTGTGCATGGAGGCGCAGGCCAGTTATGGGTGGCGGCGGGCATCAGGCTTCGCACTTTACCCGCAGCCCCGGGAAGCCGCTCCACGTAAGCCACGTGAGCAGGACAGGCGCTTTGAGAGGGCAGCTTGATGTGCTTGCTCGCCTTGTCCATCTGCGCCATCCTCTGCGCCCTGGAGCGCTCCACTCCACCCCGGGAATGGCCGAGCTGAACCCACTGCAGGCCTGACTGGGGGAAACTGAGGCAGCCAGCCGTGTCTCCGTGGGGCCAGTGCCTGCTCCCAACAAAGCATGTGCCGGCTGTCGCTCAGGGTCTACTTAGCTCGTCTCAAACCCTCTCGTCAGCCCATTTCTGAAGGAGGAATCTGAGGCCAGAGAGGGCTGAGGGACCAGTGTGGATGGCTCAGTTCCAGCTCCATAATCTGCCTGGAGCTGGAGGTGCCACGGAGCACCCTGATCTGGGTGGCCGTTTTTCTTTCTCTGTGCGTGCGTGTGTGGTGTTCTCTACCCACTCCCCCACCCTCAGCGTGAGCTCTGTAACAATCCAGGATCTCCCAGATAGCCCCACACTCACGCGTGGGCAAGGACAGTGACTGGGTGGGGCTGGGGGGTAACCCAAGATAGGAGGGCCGGGAAGCTATTTCCAGGGTAGCACTTACTGTGGAGGGACCCACTGGGTCCAGGCTGTTGGGCTGCAAGTCACTCAGTAAACCTTAGCTGCGAAGTGACCTTCCTTCCCGTCTCAGCCCTCAGGGGTCCCATTTATAAAATGAGTAGCACACAGGGTTTCTGGGAAAGACACCTTAAATGTGGTAACAGGCAATCACAACAGGTGAGCCTCTGACTGTGCTGGCTGCCTTCCGCTGGAACTGCACCAAGCTCTCTCCAACGCAGAGTGAGGGCTTTCTTCTCTCCTCAACCTTTCCTGACTGCCGCTAGGATGGAGTCCAGAGCTTGGTTGGGAGCCAGGTGTGCAGAGCTTGGGGAGGCTTCCTCAGTGCTCATTCATCATAAGATCTTAGCTCATTCCACCTGCCACTGGCCATGGCCCCACTACGCCCACACTTGGATGCCTCCCCAAGCCTGTGGGAAGGAGGTGCGGACAGTATTTCCAGCCCCTGGCCCCAGGGCCCTATCTGTGATCTGGGTGCTCACCAGGTCTTACAACAAAGTGCCCTAGAGCAGTCCGGGTGTGGTCCCAGGGTCTGCGGCCCTCACAGCCTCTGCCCACCCATTCAGCGGACAGATGTTTACCTAGTCCTGGGACAGGGCAGGGTACAGTGGCTCCAGCTTCTCAGGGCTCAGGCCCTAGTCGGTGTGAGAGAGAGGCCACCCAGACATCTGGGCCCTGGAGAGCTGTCTGCAGACAGGCATGCATCTCTAGGCGACACTCTGTGCATTGTCGTTGTGTCTTTATGTCTCCATGAGACACCTTTGTCCTGCCGCCCCTTTCACCCAGGTTTGAGGGATGTAGCCAAGGCACTGGTTACCTGGGCTTTGCTCTTTGGACCTCCCTCTTCTGCTGCAAAACCCAGGAGGTGGCCCAGTGTGGGGAAGGGACAGCAGGTGTTAGAAAGGGTGACTCATATTCTCCCTTCCTATTCTTTCCCCAGGCTCCACCCTCCTACCCCGGCCCAGCTGCCCGGCTGTGTATCTACCCTTGACCATGACTCTCTCACTCAGCAAGTTGGCTTTACTCTGTCTGGCCTGGGAGGTCCCTGCTGACCCCTGCTTCCGTTCCCCCTGGGTCTGGACAGCCCTTTTCTCCCATAGGGCAGCCCTTCCCACCTCCCACCATCTCTGTTTCTATTAGCTTCTCTCAGACCCACAGCCTGTTTCCAGCCTTCCAACCTTGGCAGGCAACCTGGGCGAGCAAGAGTTCATCAGACTGACTCATCCCGTCACCCCCCTGGCTCTTCTCCCCCGCAAACCCTGAGCTGCAGCTCTTGACCTCAGAGGAGAGTGGGAGCTAACTGCAGGCCTGCATGTGAGTGGCTCACTGGGAAGGGCTGTCCTGCTGCAGGAGGACCCCACTGCCCACGGCCTCAGCGGGCCTTGGTGTCCCTGTAGCCATGTCCAAACTGGAAGGGGGTGGTGGGATGTGGTTTGTAGCCAGGGAGGGCCACAGTGCTCCTGGGCACAAGGGCTCCAGGGGCTGGAAGGAATTTCAACCTCTCATCCCAGGCAGGTAGCCTGTCCCTGATCCTTTCTTTTCAAGAGTGGGATCTGTCACCGTCCACTGGGCAAGGGAGCACAGAAAGGCTTCCAGTTCAGGCTTGGGTTCATGTAGCCCAGGGACCCAGAGATCTTTCATTTTGGGGGAGCGTTCCCCCAGGACTTGATACCAACAATGGCCTAGAGCCCAGGGTCCTGCGGAGGAGCTGCACGGCCTGAGACTCCGCTGTCCTCGCACCCTGCTCTTACCTTTGGGGCCCCTGTGGCAGCTCCACTGTCCTCCCCAGTCTCCTCCTGCCCTTCTGCACGGGCATCACGGTGACTGTGCTTCCCACGCTGGGTGTGCCTCTGACCACACGTGCTCAGTGCCTTCTGGCGCCAAGTGTCTCTCCAGGCCAGTGAAGGCCAACCTGTTAGCGCTTTCAGTGATAAGAAACAGCCCGCTGGGGCATGCGTACCACAGGCTTGCCACCACTGCTCTAGGCGCTGGGAAATGGCAAGGAACAGAACTCACAAGCACCCCTGTCCTCGTGGAGCTTATGTTCTTAATACTACACTGCCAGCTCTGCACGCTGCGTCCGTTATCCCCGGGACACACCCATCAAGAGCCCTGACGGTGACCATGAAATCCCTCCTCAGCGGGGCCACTGAGCCAAACCCACCCGGCCTGTCCTGCCCCTTTCCCCTCTCCCACACCAGCAGAATGTCACAAGTTCCTCTCAGAAGCAGGCTGAGCCTCAGGTGACGTCCAGATGGCCCTGAAGTTGGGCTCAGGAAGGAGAGCTTGGAGGGGGTGCGGCAGAGGGAGAAACGGCCGTGCCCAGAGGAGGACCCCAGCTGCCTCCTTGCCAGGCTGTCTGCTGCCCTCTTCCCCAGGCCTCGTCCCTCTTCTGAGAGCCCAGCATTTCCTGTGCAGGAGTAATGTGGGTTAACCCAGACTCTCTCCCACATTCTCCCTGCGATGGTGAGAGGAGGGATCCGGCAGCCTCGGGCAGGTTTTCTCCGGGAGGGCAGCCAGGTGGGTTAGAAAAAGAGGGGGAGAGGCTGCCAAATCCGCAGCAGCCCACCCTGCTGCCGTCCATTCTCAGGTGCTGCTGGAGAGGTCTCTGAGCAGAGGCCAGCTGGCGGGGTGGGTGGCCCCAAAGAGCAGGAATCAGAAATCCCACCCTGCAGAGGAGATAACTGAGACCAAGGAAAGGAAGACTTACTCAAGCCAGGAAGTGCGGGGCTGTAATTTAAATCACAGACTAACTCTCAAGTGCTTATCCTTTCCATTCCGTAGGGCAGGGGCAATGGGCTGAGAAATGAGGGAAGGAAACTGCAGGCAGAGGAGCAGCACGGACAAAGGCAGGGGGAAGTAGAACGGCCTGTGGGCGACGTGTTGTGAGTAAAGCTCAGGCTCCCTGAGTGCTGGGGTGGGGGGCAGAAAGGCACTTAAACTGGGGCCCAGTCATGGATGGATCTGAATGGCAAGCTAGGAGTTGGGATGCTCTCCCTGTGGCCATAAGGGACCCCCCCGCCTATCTTTAAAGAAAGTCATCAACACTGGCTGAGGTGCAGGAATTATAGGAAGGCAAAACAGTCCCCTTCCTTATAGGGTTGACCTTCCAGAGTTGTCGGTCCACATACAAATCAGATGATTTCAGCACTGGTGAATGTATTAAAAGGAGCACAGTCACGGGAAGATACTGAGTGGAGTTCTGTTTTAAACTGGTTGGAAAGGCTTTCTTTGCAATATTTGAGTTGATGTGTGGTCAATGAGAAGCATTTACCTATGTCAAAATTCCTAGAAAAACATCCAAGGCTGAGGGACCAGCCAGTGCAAAGGCCCTGAGGCAGGAGGGAAGGTTATTGTGGTTAGAGCTGAGTGACCTTGTGGGGAAGGGTGGACATGTGTTGGAGGGCCCTGGGAAGGAATCTTCTGTGAGCCAAGCTAGTGGGAAGCCATGCAGGTTTTGAGATCATGAAGGTGGGGGAAATAGAAATACCAGACTTATGAAGAGGTTCCAATGGCTATTCTGGGACAGCTGATGGGGGCCTGGGCTGGGCTAGCCGTGATGGGGTGAAAGTAGGGGTGCTGGCAGTTCTAGAACCAGAGCAGATGGGATGATGCCTAAGAGTGATCTGGTCAGCTCAGGCGGGCAGATCTCTCCTGACAGCCCCTCAGGGGAAGGAGTCAGGCGGCGTGGACCCTGGTGGCCGCTGGCCAGGGTCCCCATGGCGTCAGTGCTGTCGGGGCCTGGCTGTTTCTGCGCCTCTGCTCTTGCAACACTGTGACCAACTAGGACTTATTAACCAGAAACCCGATGCTGCAATCTCTGCACACAGACCCGGGAGTCTCCAAATAGTATTTTCACCCAAATTGTGACATATGCCCGTTAGCCCTACTCCCCTTCCCTGGCAGGGAGTGGGCGGGGGTCAAAGATGACTGATTTCTTCTTTCAGGCTTATCTGGGTGCTACCTTATTTGGCAAAGAAGGCTTCACTGTGTAATGTTTGCAGGCGTCCTGTCTGCCCCAGCACGGTCCGTGTGACCCTGAGGCGCTTGCTCTCCCTCCCCGAGCTGGCATTTTCTCATCAGTCAGCTCAGCAGAGACCACCAG